TTCATAGAATTTATGGGGAAATTGTTTGTTGCTTGGTATATGATCAATTTTTATTACTACTTAATGGACTTTTGAAAGAATATGTGGAGTATTTGTTAGCTCTATAAGCACTATGAATTATATGTGTTTTCCATATCCTTAATTATTTGGTGACTGATTGAAAGGGGCATGTCAAAAATCTTCATTATGGTTTTTAAAGCCTTATCAAATATCTTTCATTTCCAACAGATCTTGAATTATATATTTTATATAACATCAATTAGTGTGTGAAGTTACATGTTATATCTTCTTGGCTGATTGTGCCTTTTATCAATAAGATACAATATTAGTATGTAACATTGCTTCCATTTTATTTTATTCACACCTCATTGGGATGTCTTAGCCCAGGTCTCTTTCAACCTTTCTGTCTTATTTCCTTTTAAGTGTGTCTCATAAATATCACGTACCTGGATTTTTATTCATTTATTGACTTAAGAATAAATTTATTTGTTAATTCACCAGGGGAATTCTTCTTCTTATGGTGATCTGTTTTATTGGTCTTTGTAATATTTAGACATTGAATTTGCTGCATAATAGAATATCTAATATCAGTGATGTAAAAAGACAAATGGGATGTCTGTTAGTGAAAAACAGAGAGAATGGGTATCAGGTACACAACTAAGCTCATCCCAGTCTAGGTTCCGTATCTTACTGGAGGGGCAGAATTACATGGTGGCTGTAAATTTTGGGAGACATGGATGCAGTATTGGCTCCTCCACTTCCTACTGTGTAATCTTGGGCAAGTTTGTTTTTCTAAATTGGGTTTCATTCTTTTAATGTGAAACTCCTCCTTTAAAGTGTTATAGGGAAATTATATGATAGTACATGTAAAGCACTGACTATTAGCTGATATTTCCATTTCTGATTTGTTACTTTTTATTACTTTTATTTATTGTCTTGGATCTTTGACTTGGATAATTCCATTCTTAATGCAATAGCCTAAGCATATTAAGTAAATCAAATTCAGAACAAACTTACTGTTCTGGATTTATCTTTGTATCTCTGCACATTTTATATTCATAGCTTCCTCTTGCATGAGATCTTTGTCACACCACCCATCTTTCCTTCCAGAAACTGAACTAATCTAACATTTGGTTCTTAATTACTATTTTGTTCTTAGCATTCTACACCTGTTAAGATTTATTTTTCTTAATATTTGCTTTAGGGTCAAAAATTGCATTATTTGTACCTTTCATTAGGCAGCACTTTTATCTTTCTGATTTTTTTTCTTAAGTACTTCCCATATTCATTTGCAAGGGAAGGTGTGGGTGGTATAATCTCTGAATCCTTGAATACCAAAAATGGTTTTTATCTTGCTCTCTCAAGTGAACAGCAATTTGGTTGGAGGTAGAATTCTTGGCTTACAATCCTTTTTTCTAGAATCTCTGTAAGTGTTGTTTCAGTGTCTTCTATCACTTGAGGCTACCTGCTAGATGCTGAGCTGTTATCTTGCAGCTCCAAATACACCCTCTCCCCCCTGCTTTGTGAAGTGAGGCCAGGGCTCAGCAATTATAGTACCTTCTGGGAGCTCCCTAATGCTCCTAGTGAGGCTCTGCTGACACCGGGTACAGGACGCAGGAAGCCTAGGGGAGGGGAAGGAAACGGCTCCTTCCGTGTTTCGCATCTGTATTTTTCAGCCACACCTGCTCAGTGGCTTTTCAGCAGTCAGATGGCTACTGAAAAAACTATTCCTAATTGTTTTTCAACACTGACAGAACCAGGCTCACAGCATCTGCTCAGAGGGCCCACTACCAGCCAAGTCAGGACCCCTCCTCCCAGGTCTGAACCTCAGCTCCCAAAAGCACCTCTTGGAAGATGCTAAATGTTGAAAATCCTGACCTCTTTTTGTCGATCTTTCAGCCAGTGTTGAGGTGCAGCTTCTTGCAGTTCCAACATCTGTGTGACCCCCCATATTCTCGTTTTGCCTTTCAAATCCTCCAGGACTATTTAACAGGTTTTTAGAATCTCACTAGGGACAGTAATTGTCATTTTTAAAAGTTTAATTACATAGTCTATGTTCACTCTTTCGTTAGAGGTCATTTCATCTATTTTCTTTGCCTGATCCTCCTGTCTTCTTACATTTCCCATATAACTGTCAATTTTCTAGTGTCTGCTGGTATTCTTAAGAGAAGCTGGTTAGAGTATTCATAGGGTCCCTTGTTAACCACGTTACTACTGTTTGTACTCTGAAGATGCTCATAATTATCCACCAACTAAACGGGGATTTAAGCCCCACTCTGGAAATCAAAGCCTCAATTTACTGTGTATTTTCACAAACAAACCTTAGGGATAATGCTGTGGCCAGCAGCTTTGCAAAGGAGGCTCTCTCTGGGCAAAGCCTCAAATTCTTCAGTTTATTTTTCTCTGACTGCTTTCCATGGTGCTTCTGAGAAGAAAAAGTGTTGCTTCTAGCTCAGGGGTTCCTCCTCAACTGTGTGGCTTCAGGATGCATCCTCTAGGCCCCTCTGACTCAATGGCTCCATCTCCAGCCTATGCCTCAGGTGGAGAGTTTTCTATCCCTGCTGAACAGCCAGCATTTTCAGATTTTGCCCCTGCAACCCTAGAGGTCTTCTCAGAATTGTCTCCCACTCCTACCTGATTCAACAGTGTTCATAAGCTTTTAGGTCCCAGTGCTTTCTTTTGGTTTGGCATACATGTTGCAGATTTTATGTATTGCTTCTGCATAATGTTCTGTAGGGTTTGTAACATGAGGTTTGTATTGTTCTCAGTTTCAATAAAACTACAAATTTCTTCTTTTTTGTTAATTTCTATGCTTTGGAGGGTTGTAAACATATGGCCTACCACCATCTTCTGGAAGCTTGTCAGTATATGATTTATATTTGAAGAATCACTTAGGAAATTTAGCAAAAGAGAAAAATATGTCCATATGTAAAGAAAAGAAAAGCAATTTCATGAAAACTATGCATTAATAATTATTAATATGCTGATATAGATATGTGTCCACATATCCACTCCCAGTGGTTTTCCTGAGCTTAGCAATATCTCATCAACACTTAATTTAGATGTTAAAATAGGTGCCAGTAACTCCCATGTTTTAAGTAAGTTGCAAACTGCCACTTGCAAAGTAGTTAGAAGAAACCCAGTTGAAGCTCTTAGCACATTACCCAACCACATGTAAATTAGGGTAAATTAGAAATAGAAAAGGATTTTTGGAACAAGTTCTGTTGTGGTAGAAGTGTGGGGAGATATCCTGTCATGTGAAGCCTAAAGAAAGAGGCTTACCAGAGACTACTCAGAAATTTCTATTTGTATCTCCTGGAACTTTGGGGACACAGTGAACTGACAGCTGGCTCATCTGTAATAAGTGACTGTCCCACTAGCTGCGTTATGCCAGAGAAATTGCCACACCGAAGATAATCTCTCCTTCCAGTGTTGGATGGAACAAAGAGTGCTTGAGCTGATCCATGGGCCAGACGTGGTTCCCATGTGAGAGCTTTTCACACATGGGACCCAAAAGAAGGTGTCTGGAGGGTAAGGTTTCCAGCAGAATATAGGAGTGTAAGGTAAGCAAAAGAAGATTTGTGAGCAACCAGTGAGAGATATACTTTCATACAATTCACAGAAACCACAAATGGGACACAGCAATTAAATATTATCAAGACTGCAATTCTTCTGGCCCCTGCCCTTGCATGTCTGATTCCCTTTACTTTGCTCTACTTTATTTTCCTAGCATGTATTTTTAACATATCATGTCAATTGTGCTCCACATAGGCAGGGATCTTTGTATAGGTTGTTCACCGATATATCCCAATCACCAGAATAATATTTGGGTCATGATAAGTACTAAAGAAATAATTGTTGAATGACTTGAATTGGGTTCTCAAAGAGCAATGAAAGAACTCATGAAAGTAAACAAACACCTCCCATGCTCAGAGAGCCCCAGGGTGGGAACATAGTGGACTAAGACCTGTCAAGTCCAATGTTTCCTGCTCTGACCTTCCCTTTATGTTCACTCCTCCACACCGACCTACAGTTCTGCAGAGGCCATAGATAGCCTGGCCACTGGGCAACCGGGAATAAAACCCCCCCAAAAGGGTTAATAGAGAAGAAACTGATCTCTTTCTTAGTATAGGTAACCTGCCCCAGGAATACTTGAGCTGGAAAAGTGTAAAGCTTTAGTTGTAAATAAAATTCACTATTGTTATTAATATTATTAATACCTCACTGGACTGAACATATTAAAGAAACAAATGGTTTGGAAAGTAGAAATAACTGGAGAAATGTCCAGTTACCTAAAGTCGACCCGAAAAGTCAGCAGGGCTGCAAAAAGTTTCATCCAAATGCATCCAGGATTTTGGATGGAGAATTTTCTAATTATATTCTACAAGTTCTACTTATTTTATAGACCAGATACATTGGCAAGTTAACAGCACCAGTGTTTTTTTTTCCTCAGGGTAGCACTTTTTATCGTGTTAAAATTCTGACCATCTTTTACATGAGCATGTTTGGGACTGTTTCTTCTATAATATCACAGGCAATTCAGCTCCAAAGTCTATATCTGTCAGTCCTCACTTTCTAGCATGTAATAAAGCACATAACCTATATTAAACACTTAATAAATGGTTGATGAGTGAATGAATGGATGGATGGGTGAATGAATGAATGAATGAGTAACAGAACTTCTTGAGATTAGGAAGTTTTAGGAGCAGCAGGAAGGACGAACTATTACAAAGTGTGTGAGAGTTGCAGTAAGGTAAGGAAAGTGGTGGGTGGGTACGTGTTCATTTATTGAATTCCCATTAAAGGTCCTATTGGTCATTCTTGAAAGAATGAATGGATAAATAAATGAATGAATGCTAACATAAGCAAATTGTGAAAAACATGGCTACACATGTACAGGCAAGATGAAAAGAAAACACAGTTTTGTCGATTTGTTCATTCATCTATTTTCACATCAATAAAATGGGTTTGTACATTGGTTTCTGTTTTTATTTTTTCAGGTGATCCTTGTATTTGTACTGAGCATCGGGTCTCTTATAATTTATTTCATCAACTCTAATGAGTGAGTAAAATCCCTACTCACCTGTGTCTTCTATTCATTATGTTTTCAGTGAATTTGGGATGTTCTGTCAGGAAAAATGGTTAATGTACTTTCAAATATATTCACATACACTAGCTCATATAAAAGGATAAGTGTTTAGTTCCCCCCAGGGAGCACTAAAACCAACTCCACAAAAAGTGCACACATTGCTTCTGCATCCTACCATGCTGCGTTGCCAGAGGCTGGGGTTCCCTGCACATATTTGCTCCCTAGTCTCTAGGACTGCAGGCCTCCAGCTGCCCTCTTCTTTGGGCCACTTAGGAGGACTTTATATGCCTTTGGACCCTTTAGACGTTGAAGTGGGAGTCCTGTGGTCATTTCAGGGTTTCTCATAGGTTTCAAACAACCTTGGACAGTCTTGAGAAAGGAAAATGCTAGGCCTCACTTGGTATAAAGGAGCAGATTATTGACTGCTCTTCTCGAAAGGCATTTCCTCCTTTTATGCCAAAGTGAAGATGGTGTTTTGAACAGAACCCTACCTAACCTGAACTCCATGTTGATCTTCTGGGAGTTACCTTAGATTCCCAGCTGAAGCAAAATTGGGATTGCAGGGCTACAGAAGTCAGACAGCTTTAGAAACCCTAGGAAAACTAGAAGTCTTAGCTTTGTGAATTCCTTACTGATCTTTCAGGAAATTATTTTTTTAAATTTGGCTTGGGTCAGTTTATTGGATCTAGAGTAGCTCTATATCAGAAGGGCACAGAACCTTAAACTTCCTGCTGGGCAGATGGTCTCGAAAACCAAGAAGAGCTGCCAAATCTCTAGGCCTCTGAATCCCCACTGCTAAAACAGAAATAGAAGCAATAAGCACTAGGAAAGGAAGAGCAGGTAATTTTCCCATTATTTTCAGCTCTATGAACAGTCTACTGGTTTTATTCATGCATGTGTCTGCTCCCAAGATAAAAGAAACTTCCTTGAGATATGGACTTAAGTGTCTGGATTGAGCATTCATGAATAAATAAAAAATTGCCTACTCTTTCTTTTTATTTGGTCCTCTGTAGACACAGCTTTTAAAACACTCATCTTTATAAACTGCCCTTGTTTCTATTCCAGCCCTGTTGGAAGCTGTTCTTCATATGAAGACAAAACCATCCCTATTGATCTGACTTTCAATGCTTTCTTTACGTTCTATTTTGGGTTGAGAGTAAGTACCTGTTGGAAGTGGGAGTAAACAGACAAACACAACAGGTACAACATAGAGAGATCTGTGTGTGCTTCGGTTATACAATTGGCCTATGTTGTCAGGCTCTGAAGTTAAAGGGTCTATGCCCTAAATTGTTAAGTCTATAGTAAGACAGAGTAGCTCTCTCTCTTGTATCTGAAGCTGTAAACCAGGCCAAAAATTCCATCACAAATGAAAGTGATTTTTTTTTATAAAATATCACCCTGTCACACTGCCTTCCTTATTGGTTCTTCACCTACTGCTGAGAAAGCTTTACCCATAATCATGAGCTGGAAGAACCCTAACAACAGGCCTCTGAAAATGTCATTGGCTTCACTGGTGGCTTATGTGCCATGTAACTATATAAAATACTTTATATCTTTGCTTCATTTTTGTTACACTCATATATTGAATAGTTCTCTCATTCCACAGCCATTTATTGAGAACACATCCTTAATCTAGATTTCAGTATATTTATTCATCCCATGTTTTTATGTATATATAAAAGATATGTTATACATATGTGTGTAATATGTTTCTATGACTATCCTTCTGAGTGTCCTCTAACCACACTGACCATCAAAATCTTCTTTTTTACAGCAAACTCTCCCTTCTGGAAATGCTCACTTTCTAAATCTAAATAGGGAAGCTCATAAGCACAGGCCTTGGTCAGCCAAACTTGTAGATAGCTAGCTATACTTTTTCTATTGAAGACCACCCTAGATCATGTTTCCTCATTGCTCACAAACAGAGGGTTTTATCTAGATAATTATAAAGCTCTAGGAGCAGCAGAAAGATCATGGTGTGAGGGTTAAGTGAGAGAGTTAAGTGTAAGAGTTAAGATCCATCCAGTAGATAAAATGGGTTGTTTATTTATTGAACACCTACTAAAGGGACAATCTTTATATGTACATAAATATATATGTATCTACATAGCTACATAAACATATAGCTCATATATAGCTATGTAAATATATTTGTGTGTGTATATATGTATATTATAGAATTAGATCAAAGCTCTAGTTGATGAATGAAATGTAACTGAATAAAGCCACTTCAGTGTTCACTTTAAAATTCTTGAGGTTAACAGAATTTGGGGTCTTTTATTTCCATTTCATAGTTTTTGGCAGCTGATGACAAGATCAGGTTCTGGTTGGAGATGAATTCAATTGTAGACATATTTACCATTCCACCAACCTTTATTTCATATTATTTGAAGAGTAATTGGCTAGGTAAGTATATTGTGGGAATCGGAAGAGATCTTTTAAAAAAAACTTAACATTCATTCATAAGTATCCTTCATTTCCCTTTAATGCCTAAATGCCATTTAAAAAAAA